CTTCCTCGGAAGGCGCACAAAGGTCGTCATTTTGACATGACTATGCCTCAGTTTCTCTATTTACAATATCCACTCTGCTGGGAGTATTAGAGGGTACTCGTGTACTCTCAAAGCCCGGGTACCGAAGCCTCAAAGCCCACCATAATGGTAACAGAGGTGGGATCTCAAGAGAAGAATCGGGTTTAGAAGGGGGTCATGAAGCCGGGGCCATTAAGATGGAGTTACACCCTCACAAGAATAGCAAACCAAACAGCTCCCCCCATCTGCCCAGGAACAGGCACACAGCCTAGGGGGGCGGTCGCACAGGGGCCAGGAGGAAGCCCTCAGCAGACTCCTTCACCTTGAACTGCGCCGCCTCCAGAGCTGTGAGAAGCAAGTCTGTGCTTTGTACATCACCCAGCCGATGCTGTATTCTGTTGTGGCAGCTCAGGAATCAGACCACCAGAAAAGAAATTTTCAGTAATTTTTGTGACTTTGCTTAGGAAACTTTTAAGGAAACCACATTATTTTCACAATTCTATTCAAAGGGGAGTACCCCGCTCACTCTGGGCACCAAACACCCAACAAGACATCCGTCTATGAGAAAATCAACTCAGCAACAAGCAAAAGGGAAAATCACTAGTTCAGTAAAATACAGCAACCACAAAGCCACTACAGAGCACCGGGACCCCCTCCTACACCCAGGAAGTGGTCTCCCAGCCACTGGAGGCAACTGCTAACAGAGACAATGTTAGCAGCCCATCCACGTGCCACCCCAGGATCAGGCCCAGGTACTCACTGGCTCACACACCAACCTTTCACAGCATAAAGAATTGTGCTAAAGGCTGTAACTAAAACAACTGAGGTGCATCCTAGGCAGCAGCCAAGTTCCTAGAAAGCTGCACTAAAACAGAAATTCTGTAATTCCAATCATTTAGAGTCACTAGAAAAGCCAGCCAAACAACTTCAGTCCCTAGTTCATTTTACATAGTCTGAACTTTGTAAAGGCGCACGCTTGCTGAAACCACCATGAACCTCGAACAGCCACCCATCCAACTCACTCAGTTAACGTCCCACCAAGTTAGCCTGCATCACTTCAGGGTACCCTCTCAAACTGCATTTCAGCTTTCAATCTGAACCTGCTGCCTCCCTCTTGCACTAAGGTTTCTAGACCTGTGCTAGAAACCTAGCATCCAATAAAGCCCCTAGATAATGCCCTGGAAGACACCCAACCCTTCCCCTCACCCTCCGGGACTCCTTCTGGGTCTCAGGATTGTAACACAAACCCCGCGGGCTCTCCAGTGCCCAAAGTTACACTTCAGAAAAGTAATAATTTACTCCACCAGCTTAGAGGCTACAACTCAATCGGAATATGAGGAATTAGAGCGGCAGCTCTGTTTAGTAAGCAGCCTTGGGAAATTAACCCCAACAAATGATTATTTTGCAAAAAGGGGTTAATCCTTTGACAGTCACAGAGATTGGGGCGTTCTGTGCCAGTATATTCACCCCAGAATTCAGTGATTCTTTTTTAATCCTTTATTTATTTGCAAATAATACACATCAACTGCAATTTTACAGGTCCTGGGCACTCAGCATGCCCGCAAACTGTCAAGTGTTGTGAAGGATAAACACACATAGTTCCTCTTCTTTTACTTTTTTAATTCATTTTTATTTCTTCAAAAAGCAGAGTGACCAAAACAGAAGAGATCTTTCACCTGACCGTTTGCCCCTAAATGCCCACCAACAGCCATGGCTGGACCAGGTCACCAGGGGTCTGGAAATCCATCCTGGTCCAAGTACGAGATGCCACCTGCTACCTCCCAGGCGGTATCAGCAGGAAGCTGGATCGAAAGCACGGAACAGCCAGGACTTGAACCAGATACTTTGATAGGGGACCCAGGTGTTCAAGCAACACCCATCCCGACGTTTCTGTTTCAGGAGTCTATAATCTTACTAGGAAAACAAAAATAGTAAAACAAGAGTAATACAAGATGATGCATAAATAAGCATCAGTATTACACACCAAAGTCAGGAAAGACTTCTTAGAAGGAGCTATGACCTCAGGAAAGCCTCACTTGTGTTAAGATAAAGGAAAACACAAGCGCTTTAAGACATAACCACACACCAGCCTGGCTACACCAAAATACTGTTAAGTGTATATCTACACAAGGCCCATAGGCTTTTCTAAAGGGCATTTGAGACCACCTGTCCCTGCTCTCTCTGCTGTCCTCCAACCTGCCCCACACACTTCCTTCTCAAGCCTCTGTCCCCGCCCCACACACACACTTCCTTCTCAATGCCTGGCAGGCAAAGGCGTTAGGCCTGCCCTGTTGCTCTCCCTCACACACCTGAAAGATACAAACCCTGGCAACATTCAAAGGCCAACAGCAGAGAGGCTTCCCTGGCCCCTTCAGCATTCTCCAGTCCCCACTTCCCTGTTCTTAGCCCTTCACATCACCTAACAACAGGTGCTGAGGGGTTGTGTCTTCTCGCTGGAATATCAGTTCCAGGAGACCAAGGGCTTTGTTTACCACTCTGCTCCTAGGGTTAAAACACCACCCAAGCATGCAACAGCTGGTCAATAAGCATTAGCCATATGAATAAACAACATTATTAAGCCTACAGACCTATGCACACCTTTTTTTTTTTATCAATTTGTTTCCCTACCAAGATTATATGTACCTTACACACATGGAATTGAACTTACATGTTTCAAAAATCAATTTGTACAAGTACTTTAATACACAATTGAGGAAACAAAAGCCGACAAATAAGGGGTTTCCCCAAATCCATCCATGGCATAAGGGGTTTCCCAAAAACCATCGGCCAGTAATGCTAAACCAACGACGACATGAACACCTGTGGGCTCTGGTGACAGACCTACAACCCTCAGAATGCATGAAAAACAAGGATTCTCTGGGGGAGCTCCCCGGTGTCCATTTCCACCCAAAGGAACGCACCTGCTCCTCCTTCTGTGCCTCCTCACCCCCTGCCAGAATCACCAGATGCTGCTCTATATCCAAATATCATTACTCTTTAAAAATCAAACAAAAAAGATTTACTTATTTTTTATTTGAAAGGCAGATTCACAGAGAGAAATAGAGAGAGTTCCTCCATCTGGTGGTTCACTCCCCAGATCACTGCAACAGCAAGAGCTGAGCCCGTTCAAAGCCAGGAGCCAGAGCTTCTTCTGAGCCTCTCACATGGGCACAGGGGCCCAAGGACTTGAGCCCTCCCTCACTGCATCCTCAGTTCATAAGCAGGGAGCTGGACCAGAAGTGGAGCTGCTGGGACACGAACTGGCACCCATATAGAATGCCAGCACTGCAAGGCAGAAGATCAGACTGACGTGCCACCACACCAGCCTCAAAATATGACTATTCTTCAGTAAGTCTGAAAGCAACAAGCCAACAATGGACTCCAGGTAGGACCAGAGGAGGGTGTAACTCTTTACCACGATGGGCAGAATAAAACAAGTGAACACACACTCATAGTACAGGCCCACACCAAGGCAGGTGTGTGAGCCTTGGTCTTCCCTTCCATTAACCAATCCTCCCTTGAGCCTCCTAGTCCTCCACAGGTCCCAGGGCCTCCAGGGCTTTTCCTTGTCACAATCCTTCTGGACAGTTCTACTGGAGAATGAAAGCAGGCAAACAAAAGAACTCAGAAGTAAGCAGCCAGGGGTGGCATTCCCCAAACCCAGAGAGGGAACAGAGCAGACTCCACAGAAGGCACCGCCATGCACACGACAACCATCACCATCAGCACGCCAGGCCCCGTCTCCAACACAGGAAGTCAGGCAGAGCCTGGAAAAGCTGGGAGCCAAGCACAGGAAGTCTGTTAGCGCTGCAGAGATTTCACAGCGTGCCCTCGTGGAGCGAGCACAGGCTAGGCACAGGAGGCCACGCTGCCAGCCCTGCACTCACCACCAGCTCCCCGGGCACTCAGCAAGCCACCAGTCCTCTTTGGACTTTGGCGCATCTATAAAAATAAGCCGATAAAAACACACTGGGGCTTGAATCCCCTCCAGAAATTTGATCAAAACTACTGATTTTCCTCCAGCAAACACACACACACACACACACACACACACACGATTCTGCTTAAGAATCTTCAAAGTCAGTCCAGGTTAAGAACCCCTGAAAAAAGATGTCACCCCTGGTCCCTCTCCTAACATTCTAGGATTCTGAGAACAAGCACTGGCCGGTGGCCCTCACTCACCTCTCCCAACACAAAGCGAACCCCAAAACCTATCCAAATCAACTGGCACTCATCCACACCTCTCCCACTCTACACAAATCAGTGCCCCTACCCGCGCTTGCCTTGGGGGCCACACCCCAGACTCCAGCCCGCTACTAAATCTACACCCCAGGACGGTGAAGCATGCAAACTGGAAGACACACGAGTGATTTCGAACTCATCAGCGCAAGCCGCAAAGTTACCCAGCCGCACCCCCGTGCCCAGGCCAGCCACCGCCTCCCCGGAACTGATTGAACCCACAACCCAAGCCACATCCCCTTTAGGCTCTCTCGAGGAGTTTTCTCGCTTTCCGGTCCTCTCTTCCAATCCATGGGGCTGCGAGGGCCGCCCCAAAATCAGAATCCTCCTCCTCCTCTTCCACCTCCTCTTTCTCCTCTCAGGAAGGTTTCCCACCACGACCCCCCTCGACCCTCCACTGGGCCACACAACCAGGTTTTCCCAGCTTCCACCCCATCCCAGAGACCCAAGCAAGGCTTTGAAGACGTGGACTCCATCCCTCTCACAACTCACTACCCCCCTCTCCAAGCCCCCAAATCCTATCCACTCGTCTCTGCAAGACTCAGGACTCTCTCGGGCACCCGGGATTCCTGCTGCACCCAGCTTCGCCCCATCTTCCAAGAAGGCCCCGGCCCGCCCCCTTCCTTCTCCCAGCGAGACCCCGCGCAGCCCTTCCCCCTCCTCCAAGCCAGCGAGCCCAGGCCGCCCCTCCAGGCCCGCTCCGCACCCCCGCGATAACGGGGCGCCCGGAACCGCGCGGTCACCTGCATCCCGCCGCCGCCGCCGTCGGCCGCCGCCGCCTCCTCGGTGCGCGGCCGCTTGCTCAGGCCGGGTTCGCCTCCGTCTCCTCCCGCTCCGGACACCGGCAGCTCCAGCTCCGACTCCCGCTTCATGCCCCGGGCAGCGGCGCCGGGCCCGAGCTGAGACGACGGCTGCTGCGGCTGGGCGCCTTCCGCCATCCGCCCGCGCCCCCCTCGCCTCCGGGAGCCGGGCGACCTGCCACAGGCCACCTCCCCCCCGTGGGCCTCGGCCCCGACTGTCGCGACAGGCGGGCGCGCGCCTGCCCCCGCCCCCCCGCGTGCGTGCGTGCGTGCGCGCGCGCGCGAGCCCGGCGCCCCCTCCGCGGCTCGTGCCCGCCGGCCCCCGCTTGGCTCTCCCGGCCGCCCGCCCGCGGGGTCGCCCGCGCTCGGGGCTCGCGACGGGCACTCGGGGCTCGCGACGGGCACTCGGTCGCGCCCCCGCACGCACACGCGGCAAACACCCGGGCCGGCCGCCGCTCGCGCTCCCGGAGCTCCTGGCTCGCTCACTCTTCCCTCACCGCACGCCGGCCGAGGGAGGAAGGGGGCGGTCCGGGCTCCCGAGGCGTGGGGAGGGCTGTTTATTTGGGGGAGGAGGGGGCCGAGATGGGGAGGAGGGGCGCGAGGTTGGGACGAGCTGACTGGCCGGGATCCTCCGACCCGCCACTGTGGCAGCACCGAGAAGGCGGGGAGAGAGAGAGAGAGAGAGAGAGAGAGATGGAAAGAGGGAAGGAGGGATCGGGATGGACGACTCCCGCCCGCGCGGGAGAGGCTGAGCGAGGGGTCGGCGGGGGCTGCGGCGAGCCCGCCGAGGGGGCGGGGCCAGCGCCCCTCGGCAATCTCCGCCGCCTCCGCGCCCGCCGCCCGAGGGAGGTCGGGAAGCGATCGGGGGAGCTCGGGAATCTCCGGCGTTGGGATTGTCCCGGAGGGCGAGCCGAGGCGCAGCGCCGCGCGGCTGGAGAGCCGGCCGGCGCCGAGGGGCGGGGCCTGTCGCCTTTGGGGGCGGGGCCGCAGCCTGGGGCAGGCGGAGAGAGGCCGGAGGGCCGGGCGGCGAGCTCCGGCTTTGTGCGCGGAGGTGTGATCTCAGTTCACCTGTGCGCTCGCCTCACGCTCTGCGTAGGCGGTGGGAGCGCCTTTTCCCGTGGAAAAATGGGAGTCTCGAGTTGGAGGGTCCAGGGTGCAGTCACTCACTTCTCCGTGACTCTCCAGCAGAGTTCCATCGTTACAGTCGTATTCCTGCTGTATGTAAGAGCTTGACGGTTGGCACAATGCATTCACACCCGGCTTGAGGCTGGTGAATAGGTGGGCACCGTGATCTCCATTTCACTGATGAACTGCAGACTTGATTAATGAAATCCTGCAGCAAAAACAAAGTGGCAACTGCCGTATCATATTCCCTTTATGTTACCTGTGTGACTGTTGATCAACTTTGTGCATGTGGGCAATAGATTTTCCTTCCTACTGTACTGCAGGGGGTAGTACCATGGCCATTTTCTGTAGCTTCCTTGACGTGCCCTGTATGTAAAGTTCTGGGAAGAAAGGAATGTGTGAGTGACCTAGATTGTGCTTAGGTTGCTTCATCCCTTTGAACCCTAGCTCCATCATTTGTAAAACTGGAGATTTTCAAGGATTGACTTGAAAGAAAGGTTTGGTTCACTCCCCCCAAAAAGCCACAGGACTGGGCTGGAGTCAGGAGCCTGGAGCTCCATCCGGGTCTCCCACATAGATGGCAGGGGCACAAGTTCATGGACCATAACCTGCTGCTTTCCCAGGCACATTAACTGGGAACGCAGAAACAGAGCAGCCAGAACTCAAATGGATACGGAAGCTGCTATCCCAAGCAGCTTACCCAGCTGGGCCACAATGCCAGCCCCAGGGAGATGGTTTTTATCAGTGGCTCAGACACATTATTCAGCATGGGGAGATACTTTTAATCATTACAACTGGAGAGCTACTGGCATCTAATGGGTAGAGGCCAGAATTGGTGCCAATATCTCCCCTTGTACAGGACAGTCCCCGTAAGAGTTATCTGGGGATGCGCATTGTGGCACAGCCTGTTAAGCCACCACCTAAGGTGCCCACAACCCAAATTGAAGTGCTTGGTCTGAGTCCCAGCTATTTCTCACTTGGTGTTTTTTGTTTTAAGATACCTTTATTTGGTGTTCAGGAAGAATTACAGAGAGTGAGGGAGAGGTCTTCCATCTGCTAGCCCACCCTCCAGATCACTGCAATGACCAGAGGTGAGCAAGTCCAAACCCAGGAGCCAGTAGTTTCCCCACTCCCAACCCCATCCCTCGGGTCTCCCGCATGGGTGCGGGGGCCCAGGTACTTGAGCGATCTTCCTCTGCTTCCCAGACTGTTAGCCAGGAGCTGAATCACCTGGGGCCTGAACCAGTGCCCACATGGAGTTCCAGCATTGCGGGGGACAGCTTTACCCACTACACTGCAACACCAGCTCCAGAGTCCTCTCCTCTGATGTAACTTCTTGCTAACGCACTTGGGAGGCAGCAGGTGATGGTCCAAATGCTTGGGTCACTGCCACTCGTGTGGGAAGCTCTGATGGAGGTCCAAGTTCCTTATCTCAGCCTGGTCCAATATTTGGCTGTTGCAGACACTAGCAAGTGAATCAGTAGATGGAAAATCTCTCTGTGTTTTCTCTCTCTCTCTCTGTCTTTGACACTCTGCCTCTCAAATAAATAAATCTTTCAAAAGAAAGAATTATCTAGCCTGAGATGTCAATACTACAGAGATTGAGAAGTGCTGGATCAGATCATTTCTGAGGACATTTCAAGTGGCCTGTGGATTTGGCATTTGAACTTGGTCTAAGTTGGCTAGACTGGGACAGCCAGTAGAGAAGAGGCCTGCTTTAGAGTCAGGCCAACCCAGCTTTCATACCCGCCCATGTAATGTTAGGTCACTGGCTGCCAAAAAGTTCTTTATAGAAGGTATTCAGGGCCTGAAGGGAAGACTGGAGGATTTGCCTGCAAGCTGTGTTTTTGCCATGAGTACAGTGGGTGTGTGTTACTCAGACTGCATTATAAATTCATAAAAATAGCCCAAGTTTCAGGTTTTCCACTCACTCACAAGCCATTATGCCTCGTGGAAGCTATTCGATCTCTCCACTTCTCAGTTTCTTCATCTGAAAATTCGGATGATCATAGCACCTTTCTAGAAGGATTATTGTAAGGCGATAATGTTTGTGGTCTCGTGCTAAAAACGCCAGTCAGAATGACCTATGGTGAGCACTCAATATTAGCTACCATTGTTACCATCACAGTTGCTTTCTTACTGTCTTCTTATTTTAAATGGCGTGGCAAAATGCTCGTTGTGGAGATCACCACCATACCTGGAGCTTTTATTGTACAAGACAGGACTGCTAGCGATGGCAAGGAGACAGAGCTCCCCAAGTCACTGCCGACTATGGTCTCCACGTTGGGCCAATTATCTCTTTTTCACTAAGCCTCACAGTCCTCATTGGTAAGATGGCAATAATAGTGACCATGCTATCCTAAGCACGAGATAAGACAAAGAAAAACACTTAGCACAGCACCTAGTATGTAGTGACTGCTTTGTAAGTGGTTGTTATTTATCAGCTAATTTGCTTAGCAATAATAAGCAACTGGCCAGTGAAGGACTGGAAAGATCTCTTAATATTGCTACTTGTACCACTAAGATGAAAGTCCAAGTGGCTGCAAGCTTGTTGTGGAGCAGAGTGAGATGACCCAGTCAAAGTCAAGGGTCTTTAATTGGCAGGACCCTGCAGCAGATGGAACTTGATCCTACCCACCCAGGTCTTATGGCTTTAAAGGAAAACCCAGAGGGTTCCTGGTGGCTTAACAAATGGCAGTGGTGTTTAAACCTAGGCACATCAGCCCAGAGTTTCTGAAGATTTTACCTACTAAGCTGATTTCTGAAGCATTCTCCTTCCCTTTTCATCTGCCTTGTCAAATCACTGCCAGCCACATGATGCTCGGTCCTCCCTGGGCTGCCCCATGACCAAGAAAAAAATGAGATTTGGGATCAAGGTGGCCTATGGCTCAAATGATTGTTATTCAAAGAGCATCTAGGTCCATAAGAAATCAAGCAATGCGGTATAGGAATGTTTGAATGATCCTGCAGAACCAAAAGAAATTGAACCATGCTCTGTACACAAGCATTAAGCATTTAGATAGAAAAAGGAGAATAGAAACCTCAAACAGTCCAAGAGGCCACACACACCCAAGGCAGCTCGAAGACCAGGATCCGTCCTTTTGTGTACATCTGTGTTGTTTGGAGGCGGGGAGTTATGAAACATAACAGAAAAAACGGACATTAAAGAGTATTTTCCTGCAAAGAATTTTTAACTGCAGAAAACTACTGCAATCCTAACATGATCATTTTATCCCTTCAACAAATAAACAAGTGTCTGGAATACCAAGATGAGTAAAATGTATTCTTGATACCAAAGAGCTCAGTTTAGGGAGGAAAAGATGAATTTTTTAAAAAGACAAAAAAAAAAAAAAGCCACGGCAATTTTAATGCATCATGTCATCTCTCAGAGTGGCCAAGAAAACAGACCCTGCTGTCAAATCAATGAGGGTTTAAGTCTGACTTTGTCACTTATATAATCTTGGACAAGAACCCTAGCATATTTGAGGTCCAGTTGTTCAAGTTTTTTGTTTGTTTCATGTGAGTAAGAGATTTGAAGGGGCCAACCCAGTACCCATTGTCCTCTTATTCCTTCCTAGAAGAATCCCAGTTTTAAGGATGCCTACCTTTCTTTTAAGGACTTATTCATTTGAAAGACAAAGGAGTTTAGAAAGAGACAGACCGACAGGAAGGTTTTTCATCCCCTGGCTCATTTCCCAGATGGCCACCACAGCAGCAAATCCCATCCATGTTTTCACACAGTATCTGGACCCTAGGATTTGGGCCATCATTCACTGCTTTCCCAAGCTTATTAGCAGGGAGCTGGGTAGGAAGTGGGGCAGCTGGGCACAGAGTGTTATCCTGAGAGACAACAGTGATTTTTGTTTTAACCTAGGCACATCAACCATTGGATTTCTGAAATTTTACATACTGAACTGATATCTTAAGAATTCTCCATTTTCTACTTGTCTTGCCAAAATCCTGAAATACAAATAATACTAAGTTCTTTCTGAGCTGCCACATAACAGTATGGG